GCTGTTATAGACTCTTTCTCTGTAGTATACCACATGACACTGTCTATTCAGAGCAAACTTAAAGTAAAAAAAAATAAAAAATAAAAAAATAAAAGCATGGAGCACAATGGTATTTTATAATATTACTGAAGAACAGAGTGTCATTGGGACATATTCTTTGAGGCCAACCCAGAAGTCAGCATTGCTCTGGTTCCTTTGACAAAAAGTCAGTGGGACTTTTCCATAGGCTTTTGGTTTATTGCAGAAAATGAGCTCTGTGACCAACAATAGTTTATGACATTTACACTTGTTCAGCAGGATAATCTTCACAACTGAACATGACTTTAATGATTTTTGCAGCCCAAATACAATCACCAGAAGCAAAAGGCTATTGTTAGGCTATAAACGAACTATACCACAGTCCCATGACTTCCGCTTACCTCCTCTACAAAATCCTTTCCTTTTAGCGTGACCTAATCTAGTGATCATGGCTGTGTCAGTGAGTAAGAAGAGTTTGCAAGTGCTTAAGTTGAAAAATAACAACACAGTAAAAGTGGACTAGAGAGTAGAAGAGTCTCTTGTGTTCAGCGTGATGACATATAAAGTCCCAGACAGACTCTATAGTCTCAGACACTTGTTAGCAACCGCCTTTTTTAAGACATGTAAAAATATTAAAAATAACGAGTGGGGTATTTACGGTTGTATTTTATATCACAGGACAAAATGTAAAAATATGTTAATCACAGACATCTTTTCAAGTCCCTAAACAACGACTTCAGGGAGAGGGAACCAAAAGTGCAAAAATGCCAACTCATTTTAGGACTCACTACTATAGCACTCTATATAAAAATTAACATCTTATATAACTTTAACCACAACCCAAAACAATGTCTTTATGCATAAATAATTTAATGCTTCTCAATATACTGTATAACGGTTGGAACGTTTTCATAAAATAATGCTGCACTATAGACATTGGTGCTGGCAAGTCACAAGAAGCACAGCCGATATCTAACAGCCTGTGTGTGTCTGTGTGTGTTTTTGGAGTGAGGATGCTGTGTGTGTTCCTTAATACACAGGTAGATAGATGTGAAAACACTTGATATTATCAAGGCAAAACACAGGAGCCATATTAGAGTTGCAGGGAACTAAACAAATAAAATGGTTTAAATACAGAGAATTGCAGTAGGTTGTCTGTGCTGAAAAGTTGGGCATTGAATTTTCTGGGCGTGATCTCTGAATTTTATTATTTGTCCAATAACTGGCCAACTGAT